TTGTCCGGTATGAAGACCTACACTAAGGGTAACTCTAAAAAGTGAATATTAAAAATGTAAGAACTGGTTAGACACATGCAAAAAAAATGAAGTTGGACCATTATCTCACACCATACACAAAGATTAACTCAAGAGGGATCGAAGACATACCTAACTATAAGAGCTAAAACTATGAAATTTGTAGAAGAAAATATAGGGGTAAACCCTCATGGCCTTGGATTTGGCAAAGGATTCATAGATATTACACCAAAATAGATAATTTGGACTTCATCAAAGTGAAGAACTTCTGTGCTTCAAAGAATAACATCAGGAAAGTGGAAAGGCAACCCACAGAATGGGAAAAAAACATTTTCAAATTATATATCTGATAAGGGCCTTGTATCTAGAATATATAAAGAACTCTTAGTACTCAATAATAAAAAGACAAATAGCCTAATTTTAAAAATGGGTAAATGAGATACTCATTGAGAAATAAAAATGAGATACTCATTTAGGAACAAAAAGTCAGATAATAATAAGTGTTTAGCAAGAATGTAGAGAAATCAGAACCTTCATATTCTGTTGGTGGGAATATAAAATGGTGCAGCCACTTTGAAAAACAGTGTGACAGTTCCTCAAACTATTAAATATAGAGTTACCATATGACCCAGCAATTCCACCCCTCAGCATATGCCCTAGAGAAATGAAAATATACACCCACACAGAAACTTGTACACAAATGATTATAGCAGCATTATTCATAATAGCCACAAGGTGGAAACAACCCAAATGTCCATCAACTGACAAATGGATAAACAAAATGTAATATATCCTTACAATGGAATATTACTTGGCTGTAAAAGGAATGAGTAATGATACATACTACAACATGAATGGACTTTGAAAACATTATGCTAAGTGAAAGAAGCCAGTCACAAAAGACCATATGTTATGATTCCATTCATATAAATGTCCAAAACAGGAAAATCTATAGAGACAGAAAGTAGATTAGTGGTTGCCTAGAGTTAGGGGTGGGCTGAGAGGGTAGAGGGTGATAGGGGTAAAAACAGAGTAAGAGTTGCCATCAGCCTGGGTCCCTGAATAACTTTATGGGAACAGAGCATGTGCACACACACATACATACATGGAACTGAACTTTTATGAAAAGAATAAACTTCTATTGTGCTGAGCCATTACATATGAATCTATTTGTTATGCATCCTGCTACCCCAATAACTATCCTTGATTTCTTAAAATCTAGTTTTCTTCTGCTTCCATGACAACACTGTCCCCAATCCTTCCATTTCTCTGACCACTCTTTTGTCTCATCGTTAATCTGGGGGATATTCTTGCCTCTCTCATTTTTTCTCTTCTCACTTTATATATCCTTCTCGAGTGATCTCCTTCCTCCCCATAGCATCACCTACCATCAGCCTATTGCTGGTGCCCGAATCTATCTCCCTCCCATACTCCCAAACTCACCAGCTTCCCTGTGAAAACTTGCTCCTTTCGTGTTTTCTCCATAGTCAATTCCCCCAGTTCTCCCACTTTAGGGCCAACTTTAACCCCTCCTTCTGTCTAGCCTCCCAGTCCTACTTAACCACTAAGACCTATTGGTTACACTTCAGAAATGCCTTACATAAAACCCCCTGCCAACCTATCCATCTCTATTGCTGCTGCCTTAGTTCAGACTCCATCATTTCTTAATCTCTGCTACAAGTCTCCAAATATCTCCCTACTGCCTGTTTCTCCAGCCTGTTTGCCATACCTTGGTCAGAATTAGCGAACAAAAGTACACATACACACACACATCTGGGAAGACCTTCCCTGGCTTCCTGTTGTCATTCTAAATAATGACAGTGATTATCATTTAAGGAGTGCTTCCCATGTGTCAGTTACTGTGCTAAAATAAATGCTTTACGTTTTACACTTGTCTCTTTTAAATCTCTGGATAACGCTATAAGGTGAGCACTGTTATTCTTATTTTACATATGAAAAACGACTGAATTAGGATAAGTAACTTGCTCACAGTCACAAAATTATTAAGCAGTGGAGCTCAAATTCAAACACAGTCCAGTCTAACTCCAAGGCCTATGGGCTTACCCACCATGCAAAACTGCCTCCAAGTTATACTAAACTTGTCACTATGGCACACACGACTCTTTAGAGTCCAGCCCAAACCAACTTCTTCATCTTCATCTCAACTTCATACATACTAAGAACTAGACCACAAAACGCATTACCATTCCTCAAATGCTTTGCCCTTTCAACAATAAAATTAGTTGCCCAGTATGGTGATCAGAATAAGATAGGTGCTCAAAATAGTTTAGTTCCCCTCTTCCGCTCCTTCACGACTCCTACCTGCATACATCCTGTTTATTCTGCTTGTAATTCCCTTTCTCCCTTCTATGCCAGCATATTCGGAATCATTTTTCAAAAGCCAATTGCAATATTTCCTCCTTCCTGTCAAGCCTTCTAGATTGCCCTAGGAAAAACTAGTTTTTTGCGCCTCTTTGCTCTCACAGCATGGCTTTAATCTTTCCATTGTAGTCTTTAGTCCCTCACACTACAGTAAATTCTGTTTGTAAGTGTCTCCTACTATTCACCTACTATGAATTCACTAGGGTCAGGGAATATCATATTCATCCCTGTATCTACAGCTCCTAGAAAACATAATAAGTCCTCAAAATCTAATTGCTGAACGAATAGTATATGAGTTAATGACATAAAGTGCTTTTCATAAATGCTTTCATTTTTAAATTAGTAAAATTTTATTCTATGCTATCATTTTACATAGTTGAAGGTGGAATAAGGTGTGCTAAGTATCCCAAAAGTCACAGAAAAACAGTGTAGAACTGTGCTAACCAATATGGTAGTCACTAGCCACATGTGGCTATTAAGCACTTGAAACATGGCTAGTGTGAATTGAAACGTGCTATAAACACAAAATACATACAAAAGTTTGAAGACTCAATTTTTTAAAAAGAATGTAAAATATTTCATTAATAATTTTTATATTTACTACATACTGAAATATTATTATTTAGTATATATTGGGTTAAATAAAACATATTATTGAAATTAATTTCTCCTATTTCCTTTTCTAATGTGACTACTAGAAAATATAAAAATTACAAATGTGGTTTCCATTATATTTCTGTTGGACAGTGCTGGTTTAGAGTTCATAATTTTATGAGGGTAGTCAATATAGTTTGGGTAGAAAAATACCAGCCTGGGAGTTAGGAAACCTTTCTTTTTCTCTCTCCTCCAAAATCTCTTATCTCTGGCAAGAAAGAAGAAAAAAGGAAGGAAAGAAGGAAGGGTTGGTTATGGGTTGAATTGTGTCCTCCAAAAAGTTATGTTGAAGTCCTAACCCCTGTACCTGTGAATGTGATCCTGTTCAGAAACAGGGATTTTCTTTGTTATGTTAATGAGATCATACCACAGTAGGGTGAGTCCTAAACCTAATCACTTCTCAGTGGTGTCTTATAAAAAGAGTAGAATAGACACAGAGACAGACACACATATCTACAATCCCAGGAATGCCAAGGGTTGCTGAGAGCTACTAGAAGCTAAAAGAGATAAAGAAGGACCTTCTCCTAGAGCAATGCCCTGAATTCGGACTTCCAGCTTCCTGAACCTGGAGAAAATAAATTTCTGTTCTTTAAGACACCTGCTTTGTAGTGTTTTGTTATGGCAGCATGAGCAAATTAAAATAGGAAGGAAGGAAGGAAGATTTTAACTAACAAACAGCTCTATCAGAGTTAATATAGCACATGACTACAAACAGTTCATCATGAAGAATAAAAATCATTATGTTTTCACCTTTATTCAACAACTATTTATTCAATCTCTTATATGACAATTTTATAACTGTTAATGAGACACTGAGGAGACCTAGCTATGTCTAGAGTTTATCACAGATGGTAAAAATATTAAATGATTGCTAATACACTAAAACTTTCTAAAGGGAGTATTATCCGATAGGACTCAGAATGAAAAAAAGGCAGTATATTTTATTAACCTTATAATATGTCTTATATTTATTAAATGCTATCTCAAATTTCTACTCAAGAAGGCTAGAGAAGAAGGAAAGGAAAAAAAGAAAGTTCAGAGCTCACACCCTGTATTTATAATGATCACTAAAGTCTACTTTTCATTGGGACACAGACAATTCTACTAAGCTTGGTTTCATGAGTCTTAGAGGTTTTCTTGTCTAATTATTAGCAAATTATTGAACTCCACTCTGACAACGTCAACAAATCTGAAAACAAGCTTTGAGAATTTTAATAATATTTGCTCAGTTTAATTATCAATACTAATAAGGTCTGGATTATAATTATGTTCCACAGTTAACTTTAGAATTTCTTGGTAAATAGAATTATATAATTGTTATTGCTGTTTTAAATGAAATTCATTTTATAATAATTGTAATAATATCAGTGATTTATTATTATGCGAATAAAATGTCATGGAAACTTGATTGCTATTTAGTAAAAATTTCCAATAAAGATTATTATAACTATAGCATGGTGTGGTACAAAAAATACTGCTCAGAAAGTTGAGAGGTTTTGTTTCTTGTCTGCCAGGGCATTTTTTTTGCCTCACCTCAAAACTGGGTAATAAAAATGATTTACTCCACTTAACCCCCAGATTTGTTGTAGAAGGAATTATTTCATTTTTATATTTTTAAGATAAAAAGTGGAGAGTAGTTTAATGTAATCCAAAATCACAATGCTCATTTCCATCTCAGATTTACAAGTCCTCAAAATTCTCTAGTTTCCTTGGTGTTAATAAACAGAGTTGTTTAGAGGGGGAGGAAAAAAAACAAAAAAAGGTTGTGGTCAAGTTGATGCCAACTCAGAGCAACCCTAGAGGACAGAGTAGAATTGCCCCATAGGGTTTCCAAGGAGCAGCTGGTAGATTTGAAATGTCAACCTTTTGGTTAGCAGCCGAGCTCTTAACCACTGCACCACCTGAAAACACTATTGCAGAATCAAAGCATGAAAAATCTCTCTCACCATTCCTCGTCTGTTCAACCTCACAGAAGTGTGTTCCAGTGGGAGTGCGAATAAATGCATGGACATGCTACCGTTCTGAAAATTAGAAAGAAAATGTGAAAATTTCAGCATAAGTCATAAAGCCAATTTCTTAAATTAAACTGGGAACACAAATAAGTGAGATAACCTTTTCAAATCGCTTCCAAGGGACTTCTTCCACATAAACTTGAACTTGGATTACATGGTTGAAAGAAGAAAGGAAGTGCTCACAGATGTTCATAGCAAAAGTTTCTATGCTTTTGATCTGTAAAAAGAAACAAAATGCTAGCCATCAGAGATACTTGCCTCCATTTAAAAGTAATCTTTAGATACCCATGGTATCAAATTGCTTTTTAGAATCGAGACACACAGAATTAGAATCTTAACAGATGAGTTTCTCCTTATTCCAGTTTTTCACTAGAGCTCCCAAGTGTAGTTAATAAATCATCATCACCAGGTGAGACTCTATCCTGTTAGTAAAAGAAATCCATTTTGCAGGAGAGGATGTCAAGGGTTGAGTAAAAAGTAACTCAACATATAGATTCTTCTCATGGTGAGCTCAGTCACCACCTACAACTACAGTACAATTCATAACTCTCTTTAGGAAGTTTATGAATGGGCCTCCCAGTTTCTGAAGGCAAAATATTCATAAAAAGCCACCTCAGCTTCCTTGCCTTCCATGTTGTTGTTAGTTGCTGTTGAGTCGATTTTGACTCATGGCGACCCCATGCATTTCAGAGCAGAACTGCACTCCATAGGCTTTTAAAGGCTGTGAACTTTTGGAAGCAGATCACCAGGCTTTACTTCTGAGGCACCTCTAGGCGGGTTTGAACCACCAACTCTCTGGTTAGTAGTCTAGGTCTTAACCATTTGTGCCACATAGGGACTCCTTGTCTTGCATACAGGCCTTCTATTAACCATCTCCCGCTCTCTAACACCATAAAGAAGCTCCCCATTTCTACACAAATCCTTCATGTTAATCTTGAGGTAATGTTTTATGGTCCTCACACAGTCTATGAGTTATCTGTGGCTTTGTTGATAATTAAGGTGGATTATTTGTACAGGTTTCCCCGTGATTGTTCTGTTTTATACCTGTCATCTCAGAATAATAATTAATAGCATCTTATTTCACTCTCAAAATTATCATGATTAGAAAAGAAATTATACGGTCACTCCATCTATAATGAATGAATTTAAATTGTCTTCAACATCCAGGTCCATTTCTTCACTTTTCTGCAACTTCTCACATAGTACAGGAAATGTAAGAATCTTGGTACCTGGTCCTCTTCAATATCACGGTACAGAGCTCTTCTTTCAATAGATTTTTTTAAAGACAGCAATGACTTTTTCTATATCCCTGCCTATGCTTCCTCAGTCATTCTGATTAGCAAAGGTTCAGGGTAGAAATAGGCCTTGCAGAAAGTATATCTCCAGTTTGTTCATTTAATGCATCCTGGGCATGACTTTCATGCAAAAGCATGAGAAAAGAAGCTTTCCAGTCTACATTTCTTGCCTTTGTAGACTTCCAATTAAACTGAAAATTATCTTGAATTGCACTTATTATGCTTGATCAGAAATCTGCTGGTGGTCCAGCACAGCTTCACTCACATTCACAGAAACTCTAGGTAAACAAAAAAAACCATTGCCATCAAGTCCATTCCGATTCATAGCGACCATATATCCTAGGTAGCAGTGCTAAAATACCAGGTTCTATCCAATTCAAGACCCTCTGGAGAGTACAGTTGATGTTGTTGGGTGCCATCGAGTGGATTTCAAGTCATAGCAACCTCATGTCACAGAGTAGAACTGCCCCATAGGGTTTTCTAGGCTGTGATTTTTACAGGAGCAGATCGCCAGGTCTTTCTCCTCCAAGGAGCCACTGAGTGAGTTCAAACTGCCAATCTTTCAGTTAGCAGCAGAGCTCTTAACACTTGTACCACCGGGGCTCCTTGGAGAGTGCAATTAACCAGATAGAAAGTAGCTCTGGTGGCACAATGGTTAAGACACTGAGCTGCTAACTGAAAGATTGGTGGTCAGAATCCACCAGCGGTTCCGTGGGAAAAAAGACCTGGCAATCAGCTACCATAAAGATTTACAGCCTAGGAAACCCTACAGGGCAGTTCTACTTTGTCCTTGTCGTAGTCATCTAGTGCTGCTATAACAGAAATACCACAAGTGGATGGCTTTAACAAAGAGAAATTTATTCCCTCACATTCTAGTAGGCTATAAGTCCAAATTCAGGGTGTCATCTCCAGGGGACGGCTTTCTCTCCTTGTTGGCTCTGGAGGAAGGTTCTTGTCATCAATCTTCCCCTGGACTAGGAGCTTCTCCTCATTGGAACCCCAGGTCCAAAGGATGCACTGTACTCCCGGTGCTGCTTTCTTGGTGGTATGAGGTCCCTCACTCTCTGCTGGCTTCCCTTTCCTTATATCTCTTGTAAGATAAAAGGTGGTACAGACCACAACCCAGGGAAACTCCCTTTACATTGGATCAGGGATGTGACCCGAGCAAGGGTGTTATATCCCATTCTAATCTTCTGTAACATAATCTAATCTTGCCTCATTAACTACAGGCAGACATTAGGATTTAGAACACGTAGGAAAATTGTATCATAAAATGGAGGACAACCACACAATACTGGGAATCATGGCATAACCAAGTTGACACATATTTTGGGGGGATGCAATTCAATCCATGATGGTCTACAGGGTTGCTATGAGTTGGAATCGACCCAACGACACACAACACACACACACACACACACACACACACAGTAAGTGGTAAGGGTCACACACACACACACACACACACACACAGTTAGTAAGTGGTAAGGGTGTTAAAAAAGCTGTTGTTAGCTGCCACTGAATCGGCCCTGACTCTTCGTGACCACATAAGCAACACAAGGAAACACTGCCCAGTCCTGTACCATCCCCATGATTGGTTGTGACCATTTGTGACCCATAAGGTTTTCATTGGCTAATTTTTGGAAGTAGATTGCCAGGCCTTTCTTCCTAGCCTGTTTTAGTCTGGAAACTCTGCTAAAACCTATTCAGCATCATAGCAACACACAAGCAACCACTGAAGGACTGGTGGTGGCTGTGAATGAGGTACATTGGCTGAGAATCAAACCAGGGTCTCTCACATGAAAGGCAGGAATTCTACCCCTGAACTGCCAATGTCACCTAAAAAAGTTAGGAAGACATTAAAAATTATATAAATGAATGTTGTTGATGAAAAATAAAAGTCTATCTTATACTCAAGATTTTCTTCTACAGTAACAACAGGAATAAAAATGGCACTCTCTTCTATAAATCCACATCCCTTCTACAAGGAAAAAAAAAAAACAGGACTCAAAGAAATCCACGATAAAAATGCGTTAAATTCCATTCTGAAATTCTCTTAGGCAATCATCCTAGTTAGAGATAACATGCAAATGTGTCTGATAGCCTTTTCAGCCTAAAAGATGTTGTAATAAGATGAGAGCCTAGAAGAGCAAAGATGTAATTAAAAAAGAAGAAAGAAAATACAAAACATAAAAAGAAGAAGAAAAGCAAGCTTTTCTGTAAGGCTGAGAATTTTAGGATAGAAAAGGACATTTTTTAAAAATAGTTTAAATGTAAAAATAACAAATAGAGTTAAAAAGTAAAGGGAACTTGAAATAAGGAAGTGACAATCCCATGCTATATTATAGTGGATTCTGCATCAAGAAAAGCAGCATCTAAGAAGAAAAATGACACATACCCCTTTCAATTTTGTCAGGACATGGATTGCGTTCTTGATGGTGTCTGTAAGGATGATGTCTGAATTGTCTCCATGCAGGTAATCTTTTTCGGAACTCAGAGTAAGTTGCACCGAAGTTGCCACCTCTTTAATGGAGTGGTATTTTCCATCTCGCGGAATGTGGAGAACTTTTACCATATCCTTTCCATAGGCAGTTTGGACAAACTCCACCTCATCAATCTGCAAAGAAAACATAGTCATCTTCTTGAAGAAGGCTAAATGAAAGTAAAAAGTCAACTGCAATTCCTTTAAGTTCTAACTTGATCATACAGTTCTAAAGGGTGAGATTTAAATTATTCACGAAAGTGAGACCATGTCCTACCTTCGAAGACGAATGAGAACTTGTGTGGAAAAAAAGGAAATCCCAAGAAACAGATGAAAATGTATCAGATTAGCCTGAAAAACAGAGATTCTTGACAACAATAGTAAGTAATAATAGTACCTCCTGGGTCAAACTACATGTTTTATTTAATCCATGCTAACGTAATCCTCATAACGGCTCTGTGAACTAATAGTATTCCTACTTGACAGGGGAAGAAACTGAGATTCAAAGAGATTAAGTGACACATCCAAATTCACGTAGCCAATAAAGGGAGGAGTTAGCACTTGCTCAAGTCTGCTGACTCCAGATGTACACTCCTAACCACCATGTAAACCGCTTTTCTTCTGTAGAATTCCTTGACTACGTTAATTGGAAATAATTATAATCCTTTTTTGTAGACAGTGATTTTCTGGGGAAAATGCCCTGAGGTCAGTAGAAAGGATTTGAAAATTGCTTCTACTTGCTGCCGGGAAAGAGAAGAGTAATTAGTGATAGGGTCCAGATTACCTTCAAGAGTGTGGGGAAAGCCATGCTTTTAGCTAAGAGACACTTAGTTAAAGCCCGGTGATTGATTCATTAGTACCGTTGTCTGAAGCTGGAGCCCTGGCTAAGGAACATGTCCATCATCATTGCTAGAATCCACAAGACTTGTCCCTGGGTTTTACTGGTGATTGAGAGAAGAGGCAGGAAGGAGCAGAGAGACAGAAAACCTATTTTTCTTAGCATGGAAATTTAACATTAAAATGATCATGAAAGAACGTGACAAAAATAAGAGTGAACCAAAAACAATATGCAGTGAGGGTCTGGGGAGGCGACAAAGAAGGAACCTACCTAAAAATCACACTTAGGTTGTTCAGCTATACCAAGGGCTGCCTAAAAATCTATTTGTGTAAAAACCCACCAGATTCTCTCACAGGAATTTAGAAATACTAACCAGTATTAGAAATTATTGCTATGTTCTTAATCAAAGTGAGGGATGGGAGGCTATCCTAAATTTTGGGGGTAGAGTGGGGGAGGTATGCCACTGTTGGTTATTTAACATACACTGATGATTTGAGATGTCTGAATTCTGTCTTTCCTACATGGGAGGGACACATTTAAGGAGCAACCCTTGAAGAGGACCCTCAAAAGCCTCTGACCCAATCTTTGGGGGACTTATCCTCAAGAAAAGAGTCAGTAAGAAAACCAAAAGAGCAGAATTGAGGGATGTTGATAGAATCAAGGAGGCAACGGTGGTTCATGGCAGAATTCTTGCCTTCCAAGCAGCAGACCCGGGTTGGATTCCCAACCAATGCACCTCATGCACAGCCACCACCCATCTGTCAGTGAAGGCTTGCATGTTGCTGTGATGCTGAACAGGTTTCAGCAGAGCTTCCAGACTAAGACAGACTAGGAAGAAAGGCTTGGTTGTCTACATTCTGAAAATCAGGTAACGAAAACTCTCTGAATTACAGCTGTCTGAATGTGATCATGGCGATGGGGTGGAACCTGGCAGTGTTTACTTCTACTGTGGATGGGGTTGGCATGAGTTGGGGCCAAGTCAGTGGCATCTAACAACAATAAAAATTCTAATACTGATAGGGAAAGAGGCAATGTCGTGTTGTGTAGAGTAGTTTTGGAATCATACCAGGTTCAAATCCTGTCTTGCCACTTATTAGCTTTGTGGCTTAGGGTGAGTAATTTAATGTCTCTGAGCCTTAGTTTCCCCATTGTCCAAGTGGATATAACCACCCCTACCTGGTAGAGTTGTTGTTGTATGTGAAAGGGCCTGGTTCAGTTCCTAGTACTAGGAAATACTAAAAATACTAAAATACTAAAACATGTTAATTTCCCTTCCTTGTTCCTGTGAAGTAACAGTGTCAGTGCCTACATCAGAAGAGTCACTGGGAAAGGGGTGTAGCAAGGCCAACCCCAGAAATAGCATCCATGTCAGGCCTGGCTGTGGAAGCAGCAGCAGCAGTGGGAACCTTGATTAATTTAAGGGCACCAGTTAATGGAGTGGAGAGTGCTACTCACAGCAGCAGGAGGAAGACTCAGGAGGTGCCAAGGAGAATGCCTTGAGCCACGAAGGATTCTACCTGGGAGAGGGAGGCACTTGGCTGGCTTGAGGCCTCTGGATGATACAGGCTAAGTTCCAGGACTAGAGATCTCTTAGATCATTCCTATCCCCAACACACATCAGTACTCAAGAAATGTTACTCCTCAGTCCCATTCCCTGCCACTAAATAGCCAAGCTACAAAAGTTTAGTCTGTGAAAGCAAGTGGTACCTACATGATCTATAGAAAGATTAAGCAGTAACCACCCCTCATATCCACATCCTTACCCATCTCTTCAGCTTCATATCTTGCCATATCCTATATCAAACTCAGCTTCAGCGAGCCTGCCTGAATTGTTGCTCCCCAGGCTTTGCAAGCTTTCTCTGCCTCTAGGTCTTTGAATTTTCTATCTTTCTTCCTTCCTTCCTTCCTCCCTCCTTCCTACCTTCCCTCCCCCTCCTTTCTTCCCTTCCTTCCTTCCTTTCTTTTTTATTTGAAACTTATGTTTTTAATTGTGGTAAAATATATATAACATAAAATTTACCATTTCAACCATTTTAAGTGTACAGTTCAGTGGTTTTAATTATATTATACCATGTTGTGCAACCATCACCACCACTTATTTCACCAATTTTCCATCATTTCAAATAAAATCTCTGTACGCATTAAGCAATATGTTCCTTCTTTCTTGAACCCTCTTTTTCCACCAACCCCTTCACCTGCTTAACTTCTAGTCATCCTTCAGGTCTTAGCTTAGATGTTATTTTCCCCAAGTAATCTGCCCAGCCCTTCCTGTCTGGGCCAGGTGCCCCTACCATGTGCTCTCATAATGCTCTGTTCTTGTGTCTTGAAGCCTTTATTAAATTGTATTTCAATTGCCTCTTCATGTGTCTGATTCCTTAAAAAACAGTAAACCCTATGAGAGCAGGAACAACTTCTAGCTTGGTCACCAAGGCAACTCTAGGCTCATCACAGTGCCTAGAACATACTAGATGCTTAGTAAATGCATGGTGGTACCTCCCCACCACCTCTGCTGATGTGATGACACAGAATAGTTAATGAAAATTCACCAAGGAGTTCAATACAGGAAGAGCTGCTTCTGCTCAGACCCTCATAAAGAAGTCCCACTTCCTGGAAATATGGGGAAGGAAACTTATGCCCTCTCATCACCACAGCCTGGAGATCACAGGCACAGCTGGCCAGAGGACAAATGCTCAGAAAAGACAGAATTCCGCATGGACAGAGTCACAGCTCTAATAAGACAGAGCATGCTAGTCCACACAGCCATTCCAGAGTTCATGTGTGACACATGTGGGAGAGGTCAGTGATCCTTAGCAAGGTCCTGACTGGGCCTCAGCTCTTGAACAAGGCTTGAATAATCAAGGTTACTGAGCAATGAGTCAGAATAAAAGAATGTAACCATGTGAGCCCAGAGCAGAGTGGAACAAATCTGGTGTGACCCCAAGAAGAGGTTCTGTAGGACCTGATGGAACAGATAATGGACTGGACTAGAACTGAGGCTGTTCTCCTCTGTAAAGCTTCTGCCAGTTCTGTAGTTAAAGAAATCAGAAGCAGGTGTGCGGTGAGATTGATTACTGATTGATTACTTTTGTGTGGCCTTTCTAGCCATCGTCTTGTAACTCCCACCCAGTTGATTGGGCGGGACTGTGTGACAGGGTAATCCAAGGGGATTGGGCAGTTTTGCCTTAAAAGAGAGCCAATTCCAGAGCAGAAGAGAGGGGTCCACCACTAACAAGAAAGGAGAGTCCAGAAGGAGGAGGCAGCGCAGTGGGCTTCCCGGCCCACGGAGAGGGAAAGCTGAGTGCCTTTGGGCAGAGACCGAGGGCCAGGAAGAGGCATACCTGACAGAAAGGCTGGGAAGAGGCTAGCCTGATGGAAGAACTGTATCCTGAGTGTTCCTGAGTCTGAATTGTAACTGTTACTTCCCCAATAAACCCTGTAATTGTGAGTATGGTCTGTGAGTTCTCTCTGGCCATTGCAAAGAATTATTGAACCCAGGAGAGAAGTAGAGAGTGCTGTGGGAGGGAAGGTTGGAGTCAGAATTAGTAAAGATGGCAGAAAGACACTGCCGGTGGGAATGTAAAATGGCGCAACCATTTTGGAAAACAATATGGCAGTTCCTTAGAAAGCTAGAAATAGAAATACCATACGATCCAGCAATCCCTCTCCTAGGAATATATCCTAGAGAAATAAGAGCCATCACTTGAATACACATATGCGCACCCATGTTCATGGCAGCATTGTTCACAATAGCAAAAAGATGGAAACAACCTAGATGTCCATCAACAGATGAATGGATAAACAAACTATAGTGCATACACACAATGTAGTACTACGCAACGATAAAGAACAATGATGAATCCGGAGGGCATTATGCTGAGTAAGTCAATCACAAAAGGACAAATATGAGACCACTACTATAAAAACTCATGAAAAAGTTTACACACAAAAAGAAACAATCTTTGATGGTTATGAGGGAGGGGAGGAGTGGGGATGGAAAAACACTAAATAGACAATAGATAACTGGTAACTTGGTGAACGGTAAGACAGTACACAGTACTTGGGAAGCCAGCCAATTTGTACAAGGCAAGGTCATGAAAGCTCCATAGACACATCCAAACTCCCTGAGGGACCGAATTACCGGGCTGAGGGCTGTGGCGACCATGGTCTCAGGGAACACCTAGCCCAGTTGGTATAACAGTTCATAAAAAAAAATTCTACATTTTACTTTGGTGAGTAGTGTCTGGGGTCTTAAAAGCCTGTGAGGGCCATCCAAGATACACTACTGGTCTCACCTCTTTGGGAACAAGGGAGAATGAAGAAAATTAAAGACACAAGGGAAAGATTAGTCCAAAGGACTAATGGACCACAACTACCACGGCCTCCACCAGACAAAGAGTCCAGGACAACTAGATGGTAGCTGGGCACCATCTGACTGCTCTGACTGGGATCACAAAGAGGGTCCCGGGCAGAGATGGAGAAAAATGTAAAACAGAATTCTAACTCACTAAAAAAACCAGACTTACTGGCTTGACAGAGACTGGAGAAACCCCAAGAGTATGGCCCCCACACACCCTTTTAGCTCAGCAATGAAGTCACTCCTGAGGTTCACCCTTCAGCTAAAGATTAGACAGACCCATAAAGCAAAATGAGACTAATGGGGCACACCAGCCCAGGGGCAAGGGCTAGAAGTCAGGAGGAGACAGGAAAGCTGGTAACAGGGAACTCAAAGTCGAGAAGGGAGAGTGTTGACATGTCACGGAGTTGTTAACCAGTGTCATAAAACAATATGTGTACTAACTAATGAGAAGCTAGTTTGTTCTGTAAACCTTCATGTAAAGTACAATTAAAAAAAAAAAATAGCAGAGAGAGGAGGCTCGTCCGGCCTCCACCTTATGGGAGTCAACCTTGTGCTGTTGATCTTGGTTCTCCTTCTCCCTTGTGGGGCTGGAGGAGGTCAGACACTGCCTCTA